TTATTTTTTTTAAATATGTATTTTTTATGCATTTTTCTTAACCATTATTCCTATAATAGTCAGTTTTATCATAGAGGTATATCTGTTTATACCTCCATGGTTCTATTGATGACTATTTCATTTCCGTTTATATTTTCGCTTTTAATTGGGGTAATTGGAAATAATTTCTTTTACAGAAATATTCCAACTGCTCATGCGTTGCTGGGAACATGGACGAAGGAACCGATAATTATGTCATAGGGGGCGTGTGTGATACAAGCTGTGCCAATTTCCTACCTTTTACTTTAACTATGTTTGCTATTGCATCATTTTTTAGTAATATGCCATGGATACCGTCTATTATGATCGTATTAAGGTGAGTTGGCTTTTTACTCGGTTCCCAGACTTAGTCTTCAAGTTTCAAACTTTTAAGATGACTGTCACATAAAATCTTAGAAAGTTATGCTATTTCTTGTCTTATTTATCACTGTTGTCTGTGACAGTGTTTGTTCATTTGTTCGTTTTTTGGCCAAATATTCTATTCTATTCTATTCTATTCTATTCTATTCTATTCTATTCTATTCTATTCTATTCTATTCTATTCTATTCTATTCTATTCTATTCTATTCTATTCTATTCTAAGATTTAACATACTTAAAATAAAGGTCTTCATGATAATAATAACATTTTAGCTAAGTTACTTTGTATTATATATGAACAACAGTTTGAACCACAAGCATGCATCCATCACTGAAAGTTGTTTTGAAAATACTGTAAAATGACTAATTTTCACTGGGTTTAAATTTCACTGATTTACTATTTCAGGCATAATCAGTAGGTTTTAAATTCACGGTTCTATCATTTAGATAACGTGTTCTATGCTAAATTTTACATATTCACTGGGTTTTAATTTAGCGCATTTTCCAGTAAGCGAAATAAGCAAAATTACAACCCAGTGAATAATTAATCCCTTTACAATAAATCAAATTGCATTTGGATGTCCATGTGACCACTTGCCCTGATACATCTTGTGATCGTATTGTTTATTCCTTCCAGGACAATGAATTATGGTGATCGATCTATCAGTATTGGCCTTCAATATTTATTCATGCATTTATTTGGTAAGTAAAACAAATAGCGTATTCACGATATACTTTGTATTTGTGCATTTTCCACAAATTTATTTAATAATATATAGAAGAATTTTTTTTTTCTGACGTAGTTTCACCGCCACAGTAAAAATTATGCAAACTAAAATTATCTCGTAATTTTGAAAACTGGAATGTACTATCAACTATAAGTTCTAAAAAAATCCATTTTTTTAGTTCCCGTTCGAACGAAGTCTGAAAATGGGGACTATTAGTTTGGGTTCCGTACGTCTGTGTGTCCGTCCATAGTCATTTCTCGAACACCCTTTGACCTATCTCGTTCAAACTTGGCATACAGACAATGTATGATGACCTACATGTGCACTCCAATTTTCCCTATGATTCGATTAAATATGGCTGACTGGCAGCCATTTTGTCCCTTAAATTTGCTAAATTCTGATATTTAAACGTGTCCGGAACTGTTTATCGGAGCTGAACAGGGTGATTTCAATTAAACTTTCTATGGTGATCATGCATATTAGGTTATAGGTGCACGTCACTTTTTCTTCGAGATTAGACCCAAGATGGCCGACTGGCGGCCATTTTTTTTCCTTTTTCGTGCCGATTCCTCTGAAAGATATGGCCTAATCACTTGAAAGTTTGTACATAGGTAGTATACTGCAAGGTTACACAACAACATGTTTTGTCTTGAGATTTGATCAAATTTGTCGAAATGGTGACCATTTTGTCATGAAAACATAAAATATCATTCTGTAACATGTTCGGAAAGGTTTCTTGGAGCTGAACAGGGTGATATGGCCTGATTCAGTTCAAAGTTGAATAGGGAATTTTCAATCAAACTTTGCATGATGACCTTACATATTAGGTTACGGTGCAAGACATGTTTCTTTTGGAGATACTTGAACAACAATACCCGACTGGCTGCGTTTTTCTTTCGTGCTATTTCCTCTGTAAAATATAGTCCAATTTAGTTTAAAGTTTTCACGTAGGTGCAATACTGACAGTAACACAATCTATAATCTGTGTTAGTGTTAAAAAAACATTGATGATCTTACAATTCTACATGTCACATTTACATCGACTACAGCTAATACTGAACATTATCAATGCTTGTTAATTTTATTTTTCAGGGTTTATATTGGTGCCATTGATACTCTTGGCAGTAGTTGAGAGTACGTGCTTTCTGCGTCACATGGTATGTGGCGAAAGTGGAATGTGTATGGCGTATGATATTCTATCGTATAGATACGCATTCTTGACTGTTGCTGGAGTGTTGAAGTTCATCGCATTTTGCGCTTTTAGAGCAACAGCAGCATATATACGTAAATTATATAAGAAGAAAGGACGTAAAAGAGCTGTGATGACGCCAGCGAAGACGATGGAAAATCATGATGAGATGACAGAGGTGGACAAAGGCATAGAATGGGACATTGTAGAAGAACCAAAAGGAGAACACCTCACCAAGTTCATGGTGACGAAAGTTGATACCCCGAAAGCAGATGAGAAAAATAATCACGCCCAGAATGATAATGAGCACAAAGACATTGACAATACAGGACCAACAGCAGGGAATGGAGCAGAACTCAATAATGTTCATGTTTCGAGTTTGTAAACTGGATATGGCTTCCGACAAGTGTGCTCGTTCACGATGATGTGTCTGCACCATGCCGTAAATATAAACAGAGAAGTATGTGAAAGACGTATGAATGACAGACAATTGTATATTTTTTATTTTTAGGTAATAAGAAAATAAATCAAAATGTTTTTTATGCATAATAGTTAAACCCACTACTTTGATGGGAGTTATTGAAAAAAACAACTTTCTTTGCTGTGCCTCGTATCAGAAAATCTATCATTTACTATGCATTATTGGAACACAGCCCAGTCACTTGGTTTGAATTGTTTAATAATAATAATTTACTGTGCATTATTAAACCAAATTAATATGACATTGGTCTTGTGTTCGTATCTGTAAACATACTTCATATCTCATGTTTTCCATGACACGTAAAAAATCCACATTTCATATTGTAAACACTTTGTCATAGTTTATGGGTTAACACCATACACCTTCACTTTGTTAAAGGCCCAATTCACTTGCCCCGGGCAAGTGTGAATTGGAGGTGTGGCTATTCTAATGCATGGCGTTAATCACTTGCATAGCCTATGACGCATCCTGTTTCAGCGGTCCAACATCACGTGACTTTGATTGACAGTAGTAATTATTCAAGATTAGTCGCGCATCCCTTTCCCCGGTTCATGTTTTTTACTTTTATCCGCCAAAATCTCAGCTCGTACACAATTTATTGTCATAAATATTACACACAGTCACTGCTGTGATATTCATAGTCACATGCATCCACTTTGGCACGACATAATCGACCTGTAAGTTCGAGAAAACATGTTTTTACGGGAGCTTGGCTGGAGCTGTTTACTACAGCGTGACAAGCAAGGAAATAATCTCTATTGTTTAGGAGCGTATTTATAGTATACCTGGGCCTTTAAGTTGGTTGCTACTAGATATTCTCGCCCAAATTTTTGCTGCACTTTTTTCTTATATTCTTCAATATTTCTGGAAATGAATCCTAATTTTGGAGTCAACAGACAAAATTTGAGTAAATTTTCAGTTTTTACTCAAAAAATTTGGCTATTTTTGTCATAGTCTTCTGAAAGAAAGTGCAGGCTATAAACAGGACTATTTTGTGAATTTGTGATGAAAAGAGGGAACTTGTGGTGGATTATCTGCAGCGACCCTAACCCAAACTTTCTGTATCATTATTCACCATCATACTTTCTCTTATGCATTATTAGTAAACCCACCAATTCATTGTGCCTTAGTGAACCCCATGACTGAACACATTCAAACAAGCAGCCAGTCCGCTGAGATTGCTCCGCTGTTAGCAATGCACATTGCAATTAAAGAACTGAAGACATCATTAGAAAATGAACAATATGTATAGTATCAAAGCAACAATACTTTCCGTTTTCAACAAGAATTCAAAAATATCACTTTTCACTAAAAATGACAAAAATAATCATCAAAATTAGATAATTGAAGATATCACCACGAAATTAACAAATCTGAAAGAGGTCCACATGTAGTACTTATATATGTAATATCAAAGCAATTGGCCTTGCGGTTTTTAACAAGAAGTTGAAAATATCACTTTTTACCAAAAATGACAAAAATATTCATTAAAATTAGGGAATTAAAGATATCGTTACAAAATGAACAAATCTGAGAGAGGTCCACATGTAGTACCTATATATTTAATATCAAAGCAATTGGACTTGCGGTTTTTAACAAGAAGTCGAAAATATCACTTTTTACCAAAAATTAGAGAATTGAAGATATCATCATGAAATGAACAAATCTAAGAGAGGTCTACCCAAAGTACATATACACCAAGTATCAAAGCATTCAGGCTTGTAGTTTTCAAGAAAAAGTTGAAAATGTAAAACATTGACACGGACGACTACGGACAATCACTCATATGATAAGCTCCGCTCGTCAGCGAAGCTAATAAAACCAATTATTTGTCAGCCATTTTTAAATTGAAAGAAATCACAAATCAAGCCGACATGCATCAGGGACCATTCATTCGTTGTGTTCCCACCATGTTTTAACAAACATGGCAAATGCATGCCAGAGAAAGTTGATGACGAGATAATATTTTGAGATTTTAGTTTTTTTTAGAAAATCGTGAACATTTGGTTACATCACAATCCCAAAATAACTGAAGTGAGCATACTACCTACTATACATCTGTGAATTTGTATCTATGTATCTGGTAATAAACTTGTAAAATCCGCTAGTTCAATAATAAACATAACTGGTAAGTCAACAACTTTGAATCAGAACAATAAACAAATTTAGTTGTAATGTTTGATTGCGATCGGTCAATGTATATCAGAGACATGGCATTTGCATTGGGCCATTTTAAATCAAATCTGAAAAAACATTATGGGCCCATTATGGTACCAGTAAATATGTTCAATGTATTTCCAAAGATGGACAATAGCTGTCCTTGTATAATAACCATGATCTGGGTTGTAAAAGCTGAAATTTTGATGTATTTTTAACATTTGACTACTGTAAAATACTTTATTTTCGCTTGGCATTAATTTTCGCTGAAAGAATGATTCAGTGAAAATAAAATCCAGCGAATATACCTTTTCAATTCAAATCGTCAAAAATCATTGAAAATAAATTTCATACAAAATGCCCAAAACTCTTTTTCACTAAAAATTAATTCCAGCTAAAATAAAGTATTTTACAGTATTTGGCCATTTTGAATCAGATGGTAAAAGAAACAAGACATGAATGTCGCAGTCCCCGTTATTTGATTATAAAATACTCATGTTAAAATATTACATGGAACAAACAATTGAATTAATATGTACTCCATGTGGGTACAACTCATCATAAAGTGATTTCCCTTAATCTGATAACTGAGTACACAAGTGTAACCAAACTATGTCTCATACATGCTCAAGAAATTGCATTCATAAATCTGAGTAAACCTTGATGTACCTTTAATAACTTGACTTCTTTGTTAATTCAGGTCTTTGTATATTACCAGAACCTGGGTTTGTTTCAGTTACACTACTATAATTCCCATCAAAATGTAGCCCTGACACCCCTCTACAGTTTCCACTGAGATTGGTAATGGTACAACCCATCTGTCACTGATTTAGATCAAGTTCATGACATCACGAAAAACCCCAGCATTACAATCTAAGCTAATTATTTATTCTGAGCATGCTCAGTGGTTCTTTCAGTGGTGTTAGGAGAGGTAGTTTTAGATGAAAATCATGAAAAAGACCCACTTAGTATTTTCAAATCTGGAAAAAAAAATTACGTGCATATTCGGCAGAGACTTGTTCATCAACCTGCAAAGTTTCATCAATATCTGCCGCAGAATTTCTGAGAAAATGTTAGAGACGTCACAGACGGAAACTGGAAATAAGAATTAATAGTCTGCGCCTGAAAAAGGGACATGATATATCTATAAAGTTTGAACACAACTGGTCAAGGCACGTCAGAAATAAGGCTCTGCACGGCACATAATTACTCAAAACAAAGTGGCTGCCAGCTGGCCATATTAAATACAACCTGAAAAACAAAATAACATGCATCAAGGCCTATGATTTCCAATGTTTGCACGAAATCCATCCATAAATAACTGGCTTTGCAATGGCAAAATTGTTTATATTGGTAATTTCAAGTATTAAAATGGCCACCATTCAGCCATTTTGCATCTGATGGTTGAACAAATACATGTGCATGAATATGTAGGATGTGTATATATAGTTCGAACATCATCAGTCATGGCAAGTCTGAGATATGCATGTGTAAAGTTTGAACGTGATTGGCCGAGAAATGTACGAGATGGAGGTGGAGACTGACAACGCAAGTCCATAATGCATCATTTTCGACCTTCATCTGAATGGGGACTAATAAACAGCCTGCAATTTTGAATCAAATGCAAAATGACCATTACGACTTGCATTTTGAACAGATACATGGACACACAGATGCACACATGGACAGACAAAACCCAAATTCTTGAGTGATGATAAAAAAACACAGTAGATCATCCAATACATGACTGGTTTATTGTTGAGTTCCGAATACAATACCACTACAAATAATATTGAAGATGACAGAATACAACACTGTAAGTAGTTACTATGGTAACAAAATTTACAAGCAATAAATCTACACTAATTCTGACACTAATTTTTTTTACTAAAAAAATCAAATTCAGTCATGAGGTCTCTCAATTTGCAACAAACCAACACATCAAAGAATGGCCATGGCACTGTGCATGGTTCTCAAAGCCCTTGCTAAAATATTTGACATAGCTGTATCATGTCAGAATGCAGAATGATGACATTTCTAAATAAAGCAAATAATTTTTAGATGAGGCTAGGCAATTTTCATCCCTTTAGGTATGAATAATCCTTTTCCACAGAACTCCTTGGACATTTGTTTACATTCTTCTAAGAAGTGTTGCATTGGCATGGCCAAGTTACCGTTGCTATGGAGCTGGCTGTATTGGTTGGTTACAAAATATTGATAACACGACTGTTAAAGGAAAACAAATTTTCAGAGAAAAAAATCAATTTTAGTGAGAAATAGATTTAAAATACTACCAAGAAACTTGCAGAACACTGCCATTTTTTGGAAAAATAATGCAAAAACTTCATAATTTATTTTTTTGTAATTGTTTTTTTCTGCAACCCTCATTCAATGCTGTACCTGTGAATGGGCAGTGGACTTGCAGATTTATAACAGAAGTGTAGAATAGAGTAGGCAGATTGTTTTGTTTTTCACTGACGATGACTGTGTACAGACTCTGGCTAACTTTTTATAAATCAAAAGCAGATGACGTGAAAACAACACCTAGAAAAGTGTCTTGATGTGCTGACATTATCTCTAGTAGATACCTACTCCTTTTTCACACTGTTAAAATTTTGCAAAGTTATTTGTTGGTAATTTTTAATTCAAAATAAATAAATTCATTATTATACCTTTTTAAACGATATAATCTAAATGCGATAACAATTACAAGGAAGCTATTTATCATGGATCAGCCGAGTATGAAGCGATCTGCCTCGAAACACTGCCCTCAGTTGGCAGAGCAAAATACGCCAATCGGCCACAAATCACTACATTTGTGAGGCTACCTTCATATATTTTCAAAAAAATTTATTATTTAAAAAAAATACAATTATACCAATCTAAATAAAATATATTTTGCTGGATTATATTTTCTGCGGACTAACCATCCAGCAAAAACAAAAAATAAAGTACTTTTATTACTTATGCCAGCGAAAACAATTCAATTCATCCAACCTCAAGAATCTGTAAAGATGTGTTTCAAAAAGATTGTGAACAGTGATGCATACATGTTCAAACATATTATTGCCATGTTCAATGCGTTACCACCGTCTTACGTTCATAAAACTTAGCAACAATGTAGCATGTGACAAGTCTCTACACTGAACACTTGAACGCAAACACTCAAGCAGAAGTTTGTGAAATGTTTTGCTGCAATTACTAGCTAAATTAAACTTATAAAATTAAATAATAAATCATGAGGATACTAGTATGCATTCAGGCAAAGCATGGTTGTATCAGTCTCTGCAATGCATGAATTGAGAGGATTACTGTACTACGTGTATGCATACAAGGTATTCTCATTATAACGTCATAATATTGCAAACACAGATGATACGTGATACAGGAGAGTTCAATAAATTATATGAATTTCTGATTATTTCAATAGTAATTCCAACACTTGTTCATTTATCAATACAGTTCTGAGTTTGGCCGCAAATAACTGAGGTGAGGTCAGTACAATGCAATGCAACGCAGAATTACACAAAGTTTTCATTTGCCTATGACACAATGTTGCGCCTAATAGATTTCATTATTCTTGCAACTTAGAATTCAAAGGGCAATTGTTTTTTTGATACTAGCGAGCGAGAGAAGAGTTTATGTGCATATAATTTTTCAAATTAACCGATAGTAACAATATGAAGATTTGAAAGCTCGCCAGACACTAGGGTATCAGGGAATTATTTACAGCAAACTATTTTGGCACATTTCCAATTGATCAATATGATTTAATAAATACATTCAATATCGTTCCTATGACAACATATTCAGATAATGCTATCTTTCATTGACACTCATCCTAAAATGAACCTTTTGTTCAACCTCTTACATTATCTAAATAATAAAAATAAAAACTTGTAAAAATCAAATTCTACATCAGCAGTTTAATTTCATTTTAATAATTTTAGTCTGGAACATTTGATAATACTGTAGAAAAGTAATATTCATTAGACTTTCAGTATTTTGATGTTTGTGGAGGTTTTCTGAATTTTAAAAATTTGAAAATTGTATTTTAAAGTTAGTGCATTTTGCAGGCAACAGGATAAGGTGGATTAGAACCCAGTGAGTAATTACTGTAAAATATTTTATTCTCCCATGGAATTTATTTTCGCTGAAAGGATGATATAGAGAAAATAAAAACCTGGGAATTTACCTTTTTTCCTATTATATTTCACATTCAACTCATTAAAAAATAAGTGAGAATAAACTCCATAAAAAACACTCAAAAAGTCTTTTCAACGAAAATTAATTCCAGTACCCCCTACATTGCTGTCTCTACAATGAACACCCTAAGTTACTTGGAATAACCATCACCATGAATCACTAATGCTTCTTTGATCGGGATCGCGTTCGGACACCAACTTGTTCACTTTTAATTCTCTGATCAGCTTCTGGTAAGTGACTGTCATCTTCGGAATCTAAATCTCTTTCTTCCCGTTTCTTTCTACCTGGGCGGGAAGATTAAGAACAAAAGTTACAAGTTACAGAAACAGGGGAGTTGCAGAAACTAGTCTGCAGCTCCATGATAGCCGAGACATTTTTTTATGTTCTATTTAATTTTGTCAGTATTTTATCAAATATTTGCTAATTCATATTACCACCTCTACAATGTTTCATAATTTTCACTGACCCATGAAAATTTGCCTTGCAAAATTGAAGCAATTCACAATATAAGTACAACAGAATCATAAAATAAACTACATGTATAATCTACTCAAACGATTAATATTGTATTCACTTATCAAGTGCAGAGCAAGCACTGATGATAGATCGCACCGTTTTTATCGCACCTAACTCGGTACGTAGAAAAACGAGACTGATTGGGGAGGCAATAAATAGTCATTTTGATAGACCAGAGTCTATTATATAATTTACAGAAGTCACAAGTGTATGCATCTTCATGACTGTTCTTGATAAAATCACACTGGACTGGACTGGACTGGACTGGATTGGACTGGACAGAGTGCTTTACATTTTTCCCTTACATTAAGCCTCCAATATGGACCCAACATCCAACTGTATCACCATGGAAATAATCCACGAGATGTGATAATTCTTCACTTGTGTATACAAAAATTAGCACTTATTTACACTTACTTTCATCTTTCTTTGCCTTCTTATCTTTTGGTTTCCTAGTTTCTCTCTTTTTGCCTGAAGTGGTGGCCGCAGCCAGAGCTCGATTCTCGCGGCGTCTCTTGAGTTGAAAAGTGATGAAGTTCCACATCATCCAAGCTTGCAAGAAACAAACACTGCCAAGAATATTCATTCTGGGCAAGCAAAGAATAAGAAAGAAATAAATTAACACTTCCAAAACAGTATTTTTTTTTTGTAAGGAAGTATTGAATTTGTCACCCCTAGGAAAATACCCAAGATCCCCACACTACAGGGTTTTTTCAAATATTAATATTCATTCTGGGCAAGCAGAGAATAAGGAAAAAAGAAATTAACACTTCCAAAACAGTATTTTTTTGTAAGGAAGTATTGAATTTGTCATCCCTAGGAAAACATGCAAGATCCCCACACTACGGGGTTTTTTTTAAATATTAATATTCATTCTGGGCAAGCAGAGAATAAGGAAAAAAGAAATTAACTCTTCTTAAACAGGATTTTTTTGGAAGGAAGTACGGTAGGAAATTTGTAATGTGTAAGATCACCACACTGAAGTGTTTATATTTATTAAAATATTAATATGTTTTTGGTCCTATATCAGTAGAGTAGGGGCTGTCTGCTTTCGACTTGTGCAACAAAATAGTACAATTAGCATAACACCACATGTGATCATAACCTATTATTTTGTTATCAAATTAGCCATGGTCCTGGACTGAACACTGGCATATTTTCACATGCTTTAAATATCCTAAAAGCAAAAAAAATATTACCGTAGAAGTGGACTGTTGAAGTTTCCAGTGGCTCTGTCAAATCCCTGATTTTCAGCTTTGCCGAGTTTGATCCACAACATTAAAACAGCAATGGTTACTGTGAGGAAACGAGCACCAACAAACATTCCTGCCCAAGCCAAGAATCTGTAAAGTTGAAGGAAAATGGCCGTTACTGACATGACTGGCAGCCACCGGTTGAAAATATTTATCGGTAATGAAAATAGGAGACTGGTAGATTCTTGTACATATTTGGTTTTATTAAACAAGTCGAATCAAAAGCTTCAACAAAATTTTTGTACCTTTTTTTCTGTAAAATTATTCAGTGAATCATTATCAAATTTTTTACATGGAATTGAATAATTTATCAAAGGGACTTAATTATTTTTTCATCACTGCTGTCATCAAAGATAAATAGCAGAACTGTTCAAAAACGTGATTTTCTGTGGACATTATTCATCAGTCAAAAATTTTTTTACTTTTTGAAAAACAACCAGGCCAATAGGTGATTTTCCGTACAATTGCGAGATCTCGCGAGATGCATGAAAGATGCGCGTCGAACGTCTGCCGCAAAAATCGAACGATTTGATTTTGAACTAGAATTTCTTTATTTCGCAGCTTACATTGACCGGCCGATCTTCGACAGAGGAATATTGCTTCCGAATACCCTTACTTAATCGAAATTGCCTATCATCAAATGTGGACAGCACATTATTAAGCATGGAAATGTCCCCGAAATACTTTCGCGTTTGTCGAATCCCACGCGATGTTTGACGCGACTACGATGCTATGACCTTTGTTTGTTCTGTTTTTACGTTCGATTTCACGCATAACGCGTGATTCTCGCAGTGTACGGAAAATGATCTATTGCTTTGATAGTTTGTATCACCTTGAGTGGATCTCTGTTCAAATTACATGACAATATATTTTTGGTGAATATTTTTGTCATTTTTGGTAAACATTTTTTGTTTATTTTTGTTTATTTTCAACTTCTTAAAAACTACCTGCTCAATTTGCTTTGATACTTGGTATGTAGGGTCAATGGGTTGACCTCCACGAGATTTGTAACAAGTTAACAATTGTAATTGCTATGGCAACAACCAAATCAATTACCATGGTTGTGATATGGAAAAAAAACATTATGGGAACATTTATAACAATGGCAAATGGTTTATATCTCATCGTACATAACATTTTCAACTTTGTTTTTAGGAGAGCAATTTACAAAGACAGAAGACAATTAGGGAGCATGTTTTACTGTAAAAGTAAAAAAAAACATGAAAAACAAATGCACGTTAACATGTCATTAATGTCACAAACTTTTACAAATTATAAATTGAGATACAATAAAGATTTACTTACGCTGGTTTAGAAATCTCATTTTTATCACTAAAATACATCAATCTAGCAAAATGGAAAATAGCCTCAACTAAGTAATGTATAACCAGGCAGAATAAGGCAAGACGTGTCAAGCTGAAGAAAAATAATAAATACATTAGAAATCAATGTATAAATAACACAGTATAATAAATTCAAATAATATACATTAATAATATTTTAATTTTTTGCTTTATTCACAGGGACGATATAAAGCCACAAAGACACTTGAATTAGATTACAAAATTACTGTTGTGTGGAGCGAAGGTCGGATGACAAAAAACAAAGTGTGAATAAGAGAGTACGCCAACTGGTTTCTAAGAAACATTGACTTTGCAATTCCTCAATAGCATTAAGCCTTACTTTAGTTGCAATAGAAAAATGTATATCAATGTATATTGCTGCCAATACCTTGTAGCAAATGCACCAGTAATGAATATTACATGAAGCACTGAATAGCGCACTCTAGCACCAATTTCTTCTTTCTTGATTTTTTGGAAGTAAAGCTCTGGCAAAATATGCAGCCAATAGGAAATCTGCAAAAGTTATAGAGATATATCTAATCATCAAAAAATTTTCACTAAACAGTTCAGTAGTATTTTGTTGCAATTAAAATAAATCGTCTCAAAAATGAACCAATCATATGAAGAATTGCCAATGCCAGTTCCAAGTGATGTAAATACATTCAAGAATAAATGAACTCGTAAGATTTAGGAAAACAGAAATTGAAAGTTAAATCTGATTTTTAAAGCTTTATTATGCGATATATTTTGTTTGATGTATGTAGTAGCATATATTATGTGCCACATACCAAATATACCTAGAGTAGTATTCTCGAGATATCCAGGGCAGAATTCTCTCGCAAATGTCTGAACATTTATTTCAAACTAGCTAGAATTTCCAGCAAATCGCATATGAAGTATTTTACAGTTTATTTACTAGCCTTCCTGCAATGTGCACTACCAGTATATTTTAGCAGCTGGCTAACATCTCGTTGATATGTAGTAAATCCGCACTACACGTACACAGTGACAGATGAGTTAAGTAAACATAAATTCTGATTTACATGTGATATAATTTATATTAGAGTTGCAAGCTAATCAAGGTAATGCAGTACATGTGGTAACTGGTATTTAAAAAAAAAATGACGATATTATGAAATGACTTTACATGCAGTGGATGGTCAATATCAATATCATAAAATATGACTGAATTTTGGCAAATTGTCAAATACCAAAAATATTTTTACTGTGCCTCCTGGAATTGACATGTAACTTCTGACAAGTAACAGAAAGCAATAAAACAGTCACTTTACTTATTCAAAATGGCCACCTGAAGAAATTAAGAAATGTACATTACCTGGATAATGAAAAAGAACTTTAGGATAAATGGCATCTTGGTGTGTGGATATCCATCCCACAATGATGAAGGATTCAAGAAAAATTTTTCCTGCAAAAAAACAATATATTTATTGGTATTACTGTAAAATCTGTCATAGAAGCAACGACTTCTATTAAAATGGTACAATACAACAGAATGGATGCAGCTTCTATTAGAGCATCTGCACATTTGAGAAATGGTGAATTTTTGGTTCTCAATTGTTCAAAAAGAATTGGTGCGACTTCTCTATTAGGGATGCAGCATCTAATACAGATTTTACATTTATAAAGATTAAAGATTAAAGAATAAAAAAAAGAATAAAAAAAAAGATAATTTCAAATCTGGGGATTGATTGACATTGTATAATATTGGAAAATGTTTTCCATGTTAATTTTAGTGCATCAATATTGTTAAATATGATATAATATCTGTAATTTCTAATATCTTTATAAATTTTTGACAAAAAGACATTATTTGTTGTTGTTGACATGTTTTGATCAAAATTTTTGAAAAATATGGAAACAATGCAAAATGATTATTTTGTGCAAGGTGACAGAAGTCTTTAAAAATAATGAAAGTTTGAAATAAATATATACTTACCCTCAGAGCGATATCTGCTCCCCAGACGACAGACACCAGATAAAAGAACAATAGCTGACCAGACTCATTAAATTTTGAATGTTTAACTTTCGATAGATGCATACGACGGTTTACTTTCTGTAAGCGTTAAAAAAAAAATGTGGATTATTAGCAGTACTGTGAATGCAACAAAAGAAAATGTATTCTCTGTAAGTTTGGGATTGTCTTCATGTGAAATGCATTCCTGGAACACTTACATGGATCCTGTAATCACGGATTGTGGAGACTTGAGCATGGACTGTACAATCAGAGATTGCGAGACAATACATTTGGACAGTCAGGATACGTATAATAGTCTAAATGCTCCAATTAAAAAAAAAAAATTATGAAATACTAGGAGCTTACATCCAATACATATTCCTGGAGAACGGCATGAACAATAATGCAAACCAACATATAGAAGAAAATGGTGAACACGTCAGACAGACCACAGGTGTAGGTGGTGACATCGGGTACATCGGTATCTGTAAAAAAAAAAAAAAAAGATGAAAAAGTTATGACATACCTCATCATTTTATCAAAAGTTTCATTTTTTCTAGTAAAGATGTAATATGAAAGAAAACATTTCATTTTTAATAATGTTTTTTGATACTGTAATGTTTATTAGAACATCCAACAATTTTTATGTTCATTTTGAGATTCTTCATTATGCATGAAATCTACTTATGTAAAAACTGGACAAACAAAGGATATGCGGGAGTAGTTTTGGAGTATTTCCACGCTTAATATTGTGCTGTACATATTTGATGATGGTTTTGTTGAAGATCGGCATTACAACATTGAGCATAAAGCAAAATAATTTAAATTCAAAATCAAACTTTTTGATTTTTGCAGACTACAGTCAGCCCACACCTATTCTGACAAATGCATTATACCTCATTTTATTAAGCTTTTTTTCTTCTAATAAATGATGTAAAATGGAAGAAAACATGTCATTTTTAATACTGTTGTTTGCTATTCTGACTACGGTACTTTTTTTAGCATACTTGTATAAGTATTCAATGGTGAAATATTACCGAATAACATTTTCAATGTTACCCGTTGAAAATCATATACGTTGATTGTATGCTAAGTACATTATAACTATGCACCTAGATTAGATGATTATAAAGCTTGCTGCAAAAGCAAATTTTTTAGTTTACAATAAATCGTAATTCAATTTGATTATACTGTACCAAACAACTGAAAAAATATTATAAAATGCATGGTTTTATTTTTAAGAAGATAATTTTTTGTTCTATTCAAAGATAATGTAATCTGATAATACAAATGTACAGTAATTCATATCCCAAAATAAATCCAATGGAAAATTGTTTCTGACTATTCACACCTTGGGCTCTTCCCAGGGCATTATTGAGTAGGGGTTCCCAACTGTTTAATTTTGGATAAACAATAGAACCTATTTAGCATTACAATGAATACAGTTTACATATTTCATTGCCATCTATGGTGTTTTAATTAATTGCACTTTTCACTACCAGTTCCCTCTTTTTATCATAAATTCACAAAATAGTTATAGTCTGCACTTTCCTTCAGAAGATTGGGACAAAAACAGCCACATTTTTTGAGAAAAACTCGACATAAATATTGCCTCCAAAATTAGGGTTCATTTCCAGAAATATTGGAGAATATAAGAGAAAAAGGTGATTAACATATTGCATTGTTATGTAAATTAGCTGGTACCAAATGATTCTTTTTCTGGGAGAAAATTGATATAACTATGATATTGGGAAGACTGTAGTGTTTTTTTTTAGTTCAATCTTGCTAACATGACATTGTGAAGGAAGCCAGAGAGGTGAAAACAACCCTACCACTTTGAATGGCAAAGTCTACTTTTTTCACTTTTCACAAAATTAATCTGCACAACTTTTTTTTTATACTAGTACTTTCCGTTCAAGATCTGCGCCAATGAGAAAGTAGGTTCATAAAGTACAAAAATGAACAAGTCAATGAAAATGACAGTCTCCGTTAAATTTGTGATCTGATTATGAAACAAACTGACATGTTACTGTATGATGTATGTGCCAAATACAAATGAAAATGGTACATAAATCTTGGAAATGTAGTAGTAAGGCCAAAAAGTCAGATGGCTGTCAAACAGCCATCCTTGATCCGATTTGGAACCAATTGCCTTGGATGTGTATCCTAACATGTATAAAGTATGTGCCAAATTTGAATGAGAACTGACAAAGCATGTCCGAAATGATGGCTTCCAGTCAGCCATTTTTAATCGAATCGCTAAACCACTGCATGTGCATATGTCCCACATAAAGTACTAGGCACATGCAAAGAATGAATGAAATTGGTCCAAAGGATTCTGAAATACGACTCCGGACGGACGGATGGACGGACGAACGAAGATAAAATTATAATTATAATTATTTTCGAACTTTATTTGAACGGGGACTAACAAGGAAATGTTGTACTTAATTTTTGGTTGCCAAAATGATGGCATTCAAAAGGAGTACATGTAATCGCATTTAACAATACAACAGCAAAGATTGACAATACCTCATGATGGTATTTATTATATCATTTTCACAAGAAACATGATCAACCTAAACATTTATTTAGCTTGCCTGCCAACAAGTACCCATGTGTCAGTGGCAATGTACCGTATTTATCCGGGTATAAGCCCAGGGTCTTGAACATGGAAAATTGCTAAAAAGAAGGGGTGGGCGTTTGCCAGGAGATCCCCGGCAAAAAAAACCCCGAAAATTGACAACACACAGTTCGAACTGCGGCAGGAAATAGAACAGCAAATGAAAACATGCAACGGAAATAAATGAACAATATGCAACACTAGAAGTAAAACAGAAATAATGTATTGCTTATGTGACAAATAAACATGAAATAATAAAAATCGACAGTGAGGAATCATTTGAATTAGGATTTTCCCGCTGACAAACACGCCCAATACGTGTAAACTCGAAATGAATTAAAATGTCAGGGGTTAAACTGCGTAAAATGATTTGCGGTCTCGACAAATTACGAATCAACCGGCATACAAGAACAATAATAATTTACAAATTTACACAGTAAAAATTATAAAAATTCATAGCTGTTTGAAAAAATTCTCAGAACTTTATTTGTACGTTCATTGCCATCTTCGTCAAACTCAAAACCCTCAAAGTCCAAGTCGCTGTAGCCGTCGAACAAAATCCCTACAACTTATTCCTGAAGTTCGTCGATATCGTCCCACACAATTTGGACTTTTAATCCACGAATTTTGCAGCCTGTCAGCTTGGCACTTTTCATTCATGTCTAATCATAATGAAGAGACAAGAAAAATGGGGTCGCTCTGCTGCGATGGCACACGATGCTTTTGTTTACAGTCTAGTAATCATCTTTGACCTTTATGCATCTGCTTTACTGATTGGCTAAGAATGACATCACTTCTCGTATTTCATCATAAAAGTCAAATCGTGACATTGCTCTCTTATCAGACTCGACGCTTATTAATCACGGTGAAAGTTATCATTCAGCAAGTTCCGGCGATTGGAATGTCTCACTATATAGATATCACGTTTTTTTTTTTTTATCCAACGACAGAAGAATAGTTTTCATGACAGAAATACAATAGCATTGATAAAAGATGATAAAAAAGTTAGCAGTCTTCGGCGTGACATTGCAAAATTTCTGGCCCCAGTTATGGATTCGCATGCTGCTACAACATACCGGTATTTCATAAAGCCAAAATAACGTGATTTCAACCACTCTCCCGGGTACGGGTTGCTACAATATTGCAACATTGGTTTCATTGTCGACGACGCTAAAGCCGAACGAGTGGACACTTGTTTAGCGGCTCTCTTTATTTGCTTGAATCGTTTCTAAGGAAGCACAAACCAAACGGCTGCCCCTTTTTAGGGCCACGACATATTTCAAAAAGAGAACTACCGTTTCTGCTAGTTTTATATATATTTTTATAGACTTGCTGACTGTTATGATTCTGAAAAAAATCAGCGGTGAACGCGCTGCCCTTAAGGCAGAAAGCTGTCACAGCTATTTTGCGTTCACCCCTTGTTTTACGCAATTAACAAGTTTTATAAGTATCACAACAAACTTCAAGAAAGTCAGCTGTTAATACAACCACAATCAACGAATAGAAAATAGTTTGTGTGTGTGTGTGTGTGTGTGTGTGTGTAAAAAAAAGACCCCCTGGGCGTGTGCCCGGATATGACCTCAACTTCCTTATTGTGTCAAAAGTGGGGGGTGGGCGTTTGCCCAGGCATGGGCTCTTACCCGGATAAGTACGGTATACCTGCACAGCTCAGACAAGGAATATTTAACCTTTTCATCCACAGTTCCCTTTTTTCATCATAAATTCATACGATTGGGACAAAAACAGCCAAATTCTTTGACTGAAAACTGAAAATTGACTTAAATTTTGTCTGTTGGCTCCAAAATTAGGGTTAATTTTGAGAAATAATGAAAAAAAGTGCAGAAAAATTATATATAGATTATATAAAGATTATATATAGAAAATATATATATACAGAAAACATAATCTTATCGTTTAACATTCAACACCATCCCTCCCTAAAACAAGTTTGCTAGATGAATAGATTACGTTTGCTGTAGACATGTTTCAATTATCCAATTATCTTATGATGACAGTATGCATGTATCACCATGGTTACTTAAATTATATCAAAATGTTTTATTCATTATGATACCAATCGTGACAAAAATGAACAAGCCTTAGATTCAGGAATGGAATTTTAGCCAAAAAAACAGCTGGTTTTGAAAGAGCAAATCAACAGATGTGAGTGTCAGATGAATCAATTCTTTTTTATAATTTTTAAAAAATGTTTGATGAGGCTTGATTTTTAAAACTAAAAACACCATACTGTTAAATTATTTTTTTAAATGTTGGTTAGTCATCATTTCTATGTGTAAGATTCCTGCTTTTCAAGTTTTACATTGCCATCTATGGTGTTTTAATTGCATTATGAACCCTCTAATCTTTTTGCCACCAGTTCCCTCTTTTTATCATAAATTCACAAAATAGTCCCGTTATAGTCTGCACTTTCCATCAGAAGATTGGGACAAAAATAGCCCAATTTTTTGAATAAAAAACTTGACAAAAATGTTGCCTGTTGGCTCCAAAATTATGGTTCATTTCCAGAAATATTGGGGAATATAAGAGAAAAATGCAGAAAAATTCTGGTGGTGAAAAGGTTAATTAATTACCAAGAATAAATATGAAGTAAAAGTGTTTTTTATGAATTCAGTGGCAATACACCACATTTACCAGTAATAAGATTCACAAACAATAGCACCACCAGCACAATGAGGGTCTTTGGAACACTACAATGAAGAGTGGATGTGATAACAGTGATGAGCACCTAGCACTGGGTTGAAAATAATACCTTGTTTCTAATTTTATTATCATGCTAATTAAATCTTCAGTATAGGAGGTGTGAAGTAGGTATGAAAAAGTCTATTTAGAAAAATTACCATCACACATGGTATGTAAAATGCAATTAAACCAACCCATTTTTTTTTCTTTAATTAATTAATACAACACATCAAATTCTTAATTAAATAATATCATTTCAAGAGTTAACCTTTTCACCACCAGTTGCCTCTTTTCATTACATATTCACAAAATAATCCTGTTTATAGTCTGCACTTTCCTTCAGAAGATTGGGACAAAAATAGTCGAATTTTTTGAGTAAAAACTGAAAATTTACTCAAATTTTGCATGTTGGCTCTAAAATTAGGTTTCATTTCCAGAAATATGGAAGAATATAAGAAAAAAAGTGCAAAAATTATTGGGTAAGAATTTCTGGTGGTGAAAAAGTTAAAGCAACACAATTTAAACAATGAGAGTAAACATCACTAGTATTACTGATGTACGAGACAAAAAAAGAAAAAAAGATGGTGGCTTACCATTGAAAACTTCTGTGATGTTGTGTTGGATAGCAACAAATAGTGATGCATATGATGTAGACCACTGTCAAAAACAAAGAATTTTAAAAATTATAAGATACATGAATTTCTTGCAGTTTCACAGCTCGAATTATTCTCAAACCATTACACCAGAATCCAGTAAGTTGTGTTTATACTGCTTAACTGCAATTTCTGTAACTGTAATAATTAAACTAATTTCTTTATACTTTATACAAAATTTATAAACCCAACATTTTTCATTTATAATCAGTCTCATTCAAATCCAAATGAAACGATTCCCTTTTCATGAAATGCTCATGGAATCAATTAACACTAGCTTATGCCACTGCACATGCGTATCTGCCATTTAGGTTTATAAATTAATTTTCACTAAAAAGGCATTTTGGCAGTTTTGTACGACATTTATTTTCACTGAATTTTAACGAGCTGAACGTAAAAACATAAAAAAAAGTATTTTCAGTAGATTTTATTCTGACTGATTTACTCCTTCAATGAAAATAGCGAAAATAAATTCCAAGGCAAATTAAAAGTATTTTACAGTAGGTTCCTGTTAACTGAACTTTTGTGTATGTAAAATTACGAGTACTACTCAGTCCCGTAATATCTGTATTATAAGTCTCACCTATTCTTTTTGAACAATTGAAAACCAAAAATTCATCACTTCCCATATTGCATTGTACCATTTTTTAATAGAAGACACAGCTTCTAATATAGATTTTACAGTAATAATTTTACGCAATAACTTTTCTTTTTTTCTGAAACCATGTAGTAAAGAGACCTTCAAATTAAAACTAAAATATTATGAGCTCAACACTGGTAACCAATCAACACAACTTAAACGGTACATTCTAAATGGCAATATGTTGTGAACAGAATATTAAAACAAAACATACATGTATGACCATATGTTATGATTTTTTCCTAACATTCCTTTGAATTTGAGCAACAATGGCCAGAATTGTACAAGATGGTTGGAAAAAAAGAATCCCCTAGAAGCCCTTATTGATTAGGCATAACTTTCAATATGGTAATGATTTATATTTACCTACAGTAGTCTTCCCTACATGTCTAAATAAATCAACTGAACATAAGTATACTGGGGGTACTCTGGATGATCAAGCATATAGAAATAAAACACCGAAAAAAGAAATTTTTGCATGATGTTTTTACTTGTAATTTGATCCACATCATGCGGAATCTCAATGTTCAAGTTTTGTTTTCAAAACAAATGAAAAAGACTATGATGAGTTTCTTAAGTACAAATTTGTAAATGAATACTATCCTCACCTTTATTGAAAATACTAAAATTCATGACAGAATTAAAATGATGCCATATGAATCAAGAAATATAAATATACAGACTCAAGAATCGAAAAATAATACAATATCGGTAGTGGCATACATAACTAAACATACAAGCTATAAAATTATCACTATGGCTATATCAAAGCACAAGTACACAAAAACTAAAGAATATCAATGATAAAAAAATAGACAAATATGTCCAATATCATACTATTTCAGTCAGATAAGTAAGAAAAATGAATTATTATAAGAAAGTAATGTCTTAGATTCATGATTTGATGTCTCCCATATGGCACTTGTGTGTGTTGAAATGACACGTTGACACCGAGACAGCATGTATAATAACACCGGTAACATAGACTTTACCTGAAACATCAGACCCAGCACAAAAACCATTGCCACGCAGGAAACGATATCGGCGTGATTCTGAATGACGAACTCATGGCTGAGTATCGGTGGATTTTTGCTGCTGCTACTGCCAATTTTGCGCCGAATTCCCATGATTTTTTGAGTTGTTTGCCGTCGGAGAGATGCACACAAGCTCACAGCTGCACAGTAGCTGAAACCGGAAGAGAAAGGACGCTGATGCACTGAGCATGCGTAAAAGACTGCTCTTTTAACTCGTGGCAAACAAACTGGTATGGACTATCTCGACCATTATTCATTTTATTTCAAAGAAATTACCGTCTTGTTGATTTGGACAATGGCAATATTGTGATTTATTTTTATGTTTCATAGAAATTTGTTTATGAACGCACATCAGTCATTTAATAAATTGAAATTGTCGAACTTCGAGGTCGTTGTTCTATGAAACGCCGTTTTTGATTGGCTAAGCCACAATTTCCATCCACACCACATAGATCTGTTGTTAGGTTTTGATGTTTTTTTTGTTGATTTCGCCAAACCGTCTAAAATGATGCATAGAAATCGATACACCAGTGTTCCTACAAACACAAAAGAGGTCAAAAGCTGCAGCCATCTCAATTATACTGTCGAAAACTTGTTCAAAGAACCAGCCAATCACACTTCGTAATACAACCTAATTTACATACTCATGGCCACAAGGCTTCACCAAAGTAAAGCTTGTATACCTCCATGATACTTTTTTACAAAGTTGAGCGATATTTGGCTAAAACTGCCGAAAATATTTGGTGAGTACTGTTTTGGTTATACCTAAGAATGGAGTAGGGCATTCCATGATGTCCTTGGTCATGAAATGAGCTAAATGTGTGCCTTGAATCTAATGCAACTTAGGACACTAGTTGCCTACATGCATGTACCTAGTCAACTCCTTTTAAACATTGTCACATGTTTGAGCCTAATTCACAATGTCTGTCTCAACAGTTGATTTCTGCTCTAACAGTTCACGGCAATGCGTAATGTTGTTACAAGACAGATTACAATGTTAATAAACACATGTACCATCATTAGACTTCTTTTCTCACTTGTTGCCATGGTACCAAAATTCAGTAAAATTGAGCAGACATTGTTTGACAAAGTTTAAAAGTGTAAAATTTGTTCGTGATTAATGTTTTAAAAGTTTCATGAGTGAGAGTTAATTGAAATCCGGAATTTGTTTAAAATCGTTCACACGAATAATTATAACGTCAATTCAATTCAGGCACATGTAAGCGATTTCTACGATAAAACTGATCATATTGACAAACGTAGTCTTGCCATGTTTGGAATGATGATACCAGTTATACTTGTGATGCTAAAATAGTAAGTAATACCAAAACCAGTCGGTTAATTTACTTAAATAAAGCATAGTAATGTACAACATTTCTATCCTTATCTATGTTTAAAATAGTTCAGTGTTATACGAGTATACATAGACATCAACATAATTGTTGCTGTTGATGCATAATTATACTGAATTCGTCAAGGCTGATGACACCACATGAGTGAGGTCACAGATCACCTTATGTAATGACATTTAACCTTGACCTTGTCTGGGTAAACAGAATGGGTCTATTAATTGTAGGTCTTCTATAAGATCTATTTAGTAAATTCAATTCAACTATCCTGAACTCCAGATTGATATTTTATATGTATTTTAAAGACGTTTGCACGTGTGAAGGTAATCTCTACGCTCTACATTCAACCCCCTCCCTCTTCAACTATGTTTGAAAAATATGTGGAAACAGTATCACAACTAAACTTAAATAACAGTATTTTATTATGATGTGGTCATTATGAGTCATGTTCATTTCAACAAGCTTATGGTTATGATTTTTGAAAAAATATCAAGTTAAAAAATGGTCCAAGTGGCCCAGGATTGTGCAGCGGTAATGCCCCGCTTGGGAGGGTGTGTTAGCCTTACAACCGAGGGCCGCAAACGCCATATCCAGTTCATGAAGGTTTTAGCCTTATAGGTGGAATTACAATTTTAACATGGTATGACCTTAAACACACAATGTAATTTAGAATGACGCATTTTGTTTTGTTTTGATTAATGAAAACCGGGCACACTGGGCCTTGGGTGATTTTTGAACAAAAATGCCAACCAATACATGCAAGGTGTGGTGTTCCATTGGAAAACACTCTCATATAACATTATGGATCAAGCAGCACTGAGGAATAATAAATTGATAAAAATTAATTAATTTTCATTAAATATTACTATCAATTTTATTTGTCCTTGAGAGCAAAATAGTCTAATAGCGTTTCATTCACTTTTGTCATTGTGTCATCCATGGTACAGTTGACTACTGTAAAATGACTAATTTTCACTGCGTTTAAATTTCACTGATTTACCATTTCAAGCATATTCAGTGGGTTTTAAATTCATGGTTTTATCATTTAGATAATGCGTTCTATGCTAAATTTTACATATTCACTGGGTTTTAATTTAACGCCTTTTCCAGTCAGCGAAATAAGCTAAATTAAAACCCAGTGAATAATTAACCCTTTTACAGTATTCTGAGGTGGAAATCTGATTTTAAAACTTTCAGGGTTGACACATTTTGTGTCTTAAAATTCTCCTTATTTTGAATAATCGGTCATAAGAGATACAGAATTATGTCTTCATTCTGTCCATGAATTACAATTTGAATGTTTATTGCTCTTGCTTCATGCAAATGTCTTCTGTATCAAAATTTCCCATGATGCAATGTCTAATACCAAATGAAAACATTTTAAATTCGCACTGATGTGTATTCAAGAATTATGCACTTTTTGCTGACATAAACTGTGTAAATTGTTTGTGCACGTGGCCATAGCGTGTCTTTACGTTTTTAGCATTGTCATCATTGCTTAGATCTAAATTCCTCTGCGTTGTCGCATACGACTTATTTACTACTTCCGTGTCACTGAGAATGTTCTAGAACCGTACTGTGTCTGGGTGGAATATTCTAGATTTTTTTTAGAAAATGGTTGAATAGGTAATAGAACACTGTAGGAGGCAATAGAAGGTAATGGAACATTCTAGAAATTTATAGTAAATTCCAGACTCATTATGTATGCTGATGTAATGGTTTATTTATAGACAGTGGGGGTATATATAGGGGAGTTGTTCAGCACTGAGTTCAGATCGGAGATCTCATTGAATTGTATTGGAGTTTAAGTATCTAGTTATTGGAGGTTTTGAGTTTTACCGCGTTATTGTACTTGATGTTTGCAGAGTATAATAATGGCTCCGTGTTCGTATTTTATCATCGCCGCCAGGGAAGTCTTTCTGTTACTGTTGCCATTTTGGTATTTGAACCATCACACCTGTACTATACCAATTACGGTAATATTACGTTGCGTGTGACATGCGTGAACCGATAATATTCCTTTAATAAAATAGTCCTCACTATTTTCGAATTGTTTTTTTCTTCCAGATCATCACATATGTAGTGGAGGAATTTATGATGGCGTCAGTGTCGTCTACTACGCAGGGGGAAGTGTCGAACCCAGTGGAATCGTCTACACCAGTTAGCTCACAGTCTAACCTGGATATGCCCTTAGCACTCAGGAAAAGTCCCAGAGCAACTGCAGGGTAAGTAAGATTTTGTGTCGTCACTGTTCAAATCACTTTGCTTTGAGGTGACAATTGCTAACAATCCTCAAGACCAGTGTATTCAGGTCACCTGATCAAACCAGAAAAGATTGTGTTAAATCAACAATATTCAACATTTTCAATCTTAAACAATATATCCATCATCATTGGAATTCACATAAATTTTCTTAGAACCTGTTTTCGCATATGAAATATACAAGTTTCTTCAACACATCAAGTGAAATATTTAATTTCTTTCTCAAGCATACCTCTGTGCATATTCAAATTTGTATTATTTTGGTGTATTATAATAGTTACATGTAGATAAACTATTACTGTAAAATCTGTATTAAAAGTCGCGGCTTCTATTAAAATGGTACAATGCAACAGGGGATGCGACTTCTATTAGAGCATCTACACATATGAGGAATGGTGAATTTTTTTGGTCTCAATCGTTCAAAAAGAATGGGTGTGGCTTCTATTAGGAATGCGGCTTCTAATACAGATTTTACGGTACAACTATGTTTACCCAATTTTTAAATTTAAAAAAAGTACAAATCTGATGAATATTTCAAGTTTTCTCATAACAAATTTGGTCACAATAAAATTGCGTTTTGTATGAAATGGAAAGAAAGGAACAGAGGATTAAAACAAACTACACAAGTACATGTACACTTAATGTACCTGAACGCAACTCACAACACTGTGCAAGAAATCATTAAAAATACAAAAAGAAAATGATTGTTTAAACAATGTATGTAATTAGGGTAAGATAGAATAATAAACCATAATGTATATATCGGTAGGGGTCACCATGTCTAAACCACTGGCAATTGAATTCTGTGAATAGGTACATACATTTTTTTTTCTATAGTGGAGTTAACATACTCACAAACCTGTAATAAATAAATCATAATAAATCGTATAGGGGAATTTACAAAACACAAAAAAATAACTGAGAACAATCTAATAAACAATCCACAAGAACCAACCAGCCCAGCTGGCAACATTAAAGCAGTACACAACATACAGTTAATTATTCACTGGGTTTTAATTTTGCTTATTTCGCTGACTGGAAAATGTGCTAAATTAAAACCCAGTGAATATATAAAATTTAGCATAGAACACATTATCTAAATGACAAAACCGTGAATTTAAAACCCACTGAATATGCCAGAAATGGTAAATCAGCGAAATTTAAACCCAGTGAAAATTAGTCATTTTACAGTAATCAATTCAGTAAGACAAAGATATATATAGTATACAATAAGTCAGGTCAGGTGTTCCAAAAAGTGTGAGCATTCTGCTCCATATGTGGCACATGTCATGTTGTCTTTTTTTCCTGACCTACCCTCAGGCACCTACTCCTCCTTTTTAATCAATACCGGTATATTTCCTTTTTCTGTGATTATATTGCATATTTCTTCTATATGTCACGTATTTGAATGGAATCAAGTCAAAGGTAACACCCCCTCCCATAATCACTCCTGCTGAGTAGTTGTTTTCATTGTAATTGGTTGCGTTGATCAGAAAACCTGCAGAATTTTTCATATTTTGATGTATTTTGCTTGATTATGTGATAAGATATTAATGACACTTTTGATTTTTGATTAGTTTATCATTATCACTACAAGTTGGTGACACCTGTACCAATGCTATTGTAAGCTGCATACCCCGTCAATGTACAGTGTTGTACGGGGTGAGTTATGCCTCAGTGCATTTGAATACAATGGCAATATATTGAGGGGTTGGTGATGATAAAAGGCTCAAGCATAAAATATACTAAGGGAAGTTCGATTTTATTTGAACATTTTGCATATTCACAGAATTCCTGTATCAAATGCAGTGGTCTAAACATTTTATCAGCGATTATCTGGGGTCCCATTGAAACTTGGTATTGACCTGATAATGACTTGCGTTTTGTGATCTGATTTAAAATGGCCGATTGACAGCCATGTTAAATTTATTTTTAAGTGTTTTTTTAGTGAAATTTAACCAACTGGCAGCAATTTTTTTTTTTTTCAATTGTTCTTCCTTTTCCTCTGACAAGACATAATAGTTTCATGTATTTGCTAATTTGTTTCTTGCTTTAATGAAATATTATTTTCATTACTTCTTCTCTCTTCTGTGTCAAATGCATCCAAATACAAATAGGAACTATGTCATTGACATTCTTATCTACTACTTTTATAGTTTTTGGTTAAAAATGATATTATCAACTTCTTCTTAAAAAGCCAGATTGCTTTAATACTTAATATGTAGATGACTTGGAATATTTTATTTTTGACTTCTGTGGAAACTATAGCCATGGCAACAACACTGTAAAATGAGTCTAGTTTTAATCCAAACATAACGCAACTCTATTAAAAGTTAATCTAATGGAGTTCTTGGAACATATAGCAATACAAGTATGTGTGTGTGTGTGTGTTGTATCTCAGACATGTCTTAACTGATTCTTTTCAAACATTGCACATACATGCATTGTAACACCTAGTCCTATACGCATGCAATGATTTTGTGTTTCGATCAAAGATGGTCGAAAACACTGAAATCAGGTAATTTTGACATCTCTGAAATCAGATCTTGGACTTCTGTTGTTACTTCAAACTTGGTAGAAGGAATAACAATTACCTACGGTACTGGAGGTTGTTGCATATCACGTCTACTCACGATACTTTCGTGAAGCGATAAAATAGCATTGTCAAAAGTGTTCACTCTGCACATGATTAGGTACTAAGTTATCCATAAATGAGTATTGTTTTGCAATTGAACATGTGATTTGGTCATTTTATGTGTCACAATGATTATGAATAGGAACTTTTAGACAAATAGATTGTTTTATGCTGTTTTCATTCATTGTCACATGCATAATGTGTGTATCTCTATAGTGAAAAATTGCATTAGATACAGGTTTTCACTCTGCTGCTTTATTCTACATCACTCACCAAAACTATTTTTTATTACTCATTTTATATCAAACATTGGCTTTATATGTGCTACCCCCTGGTATATGGGAACTGTGCATTGCAAAATATTTGTTATATAATAGCAGGGATAGCAGGCAGTGCCCTCATGCCATGGCTACGCGCACCCTTACCCTGGGGAGCAGATCCTCTGGCAACCATAAAATTCTGATTGACCACAGATCACATGTAGCCACAGTCTTCAACTGTGACCTGATAGTAATTTTTGCCCCAAGGAAGCCATAGAATGCTATTTACCCCCTACCCTGACTGATTGAGTGTGCTGTAGAATCAATTGGAAGACTAAATCCACTGGCAGAATTTCATTCACTAATGAATGCGACTTTTGGGAAACTTAATAATAATAATAATATGAGGTTATTACGAGAATACCTCAAAGTATGCACGAAGACAGTACAGCTGGAGTATTGACCGACGCGCAGCGGAGGTCGATGTGCGGCATACTTTCTGAGTGCATAATTTTAGGTATTCTCGTAACAACCTTATTATTATACATCTTTTCCTTCCACGAATACATCATGGGAAAGCCGAAATCCAAAATGTTTAGAACAGAATCAGCAAAATTCTTTGTGTGGAGTCCGGTCAAACTCTTTGGCAGCCATGTTTGTTTTTATTATTAGAGGACACCTATGTGCGTAATCATTCCATATTTGGAATTCACATTTCCTAATATGGTAGGATGAAAATACCCTGTAAAATACCGCAAAATTACGACACGCTGTAACTCATGGCGTTACGGTGACAGATGTATACTTAGTAATAATATTTATTGCATCTTTAGAAACACAGTATTTCTATCAGTACAGTAGCAATAAAAGTATAACAAAGTATAATAATAATAATGAAATGATAAAGAAAGAGAAAATATTATAATAAGTATAAAAGTAAAATGTAATGTGTTAAATTTGTTTACTAATAAGTTTAACAATAATAAAACTAAGACTAATTATATTAAAATTCAAAACTATCAACTATTTATTCTTTCTTGAAAGGCTTTCTAA